GATGGGAACCCTGTCTGAGCTAATCACTGTTGACAATAAAACAAAGAAACCTAAGGTACTGCTCAGATCAAATGCAACCAAAGAGGTCAGCCAACTGTATGCAATGTGGGGTTCTCGGCTGAAACCTATACTGGAAGAAATGCAATAACAGGCATTATTGACTACTGAAAAAATTGAAGACAGAAGTGTGCCATCTACTATGAAAGATGATAACCATCCTATGGCACACCATCCCCTACCATCAGTTATGCCAGCAATCTTCAAGTCCTGTCTTTAAATAAAAGGATCTGAAGGGTAGAGAAGGGTAAACTTTTAGCTTTTCTTCTTGTTTAGTGACCTAAAACAGTAAGAACAGCTATTAAATGGCCTCAGAAATATGCACAAATGCTTTATGTATGATAGACTGTTTTGATCAACAACAGGACTTAGGTTTGTTTTTCCTACCCTCAGATTTCATGTCAAGCACATACCAGTAATTACCAGGCCCTCAATGCAAGGTGCTTTCCACCCTCTCACTATTCTCACGCCAGGCATTGTGGGTGCTGGGGACATCATGGGGAAAAAGAAGAGATCATCCACAAGGAGTGAGGTGCATATCTTTATTTAATCCCCACACTGGGGAGGCAGAGGCAGGCAGGCAGAGCTCTGTGAAGATCTCTAGACTAGCCTGGTCTCATAGTGAGCTCTATGATAGGCAGGACTACACAGAGAGAGCCAGTCTCGAAAGGAGAAGTCACCATCCTCATCACAACATAAACAGTATAATTCTCTTTGCTTTATATTTGAGGAATCTGAGGATCCTTAGGTTTAGCACCTAGGCTAAGATCAGATGGTTGTAGCTTGGGAAAGATAGCATACAAATCCAGGTGTCCTTCCAAGTCTCACCTTTGCTAACTGTACTATCCCACAGTCTCCCCCCCCCCTTTTTATTGAAATTAGAAACAAGCTTCATTTACATGTCAATCCCAGTTCCCCTTCCCACCCTCCTCCCCTGCCCACTCCCTTTCTGCTCCCTAGGGAGAGAGAGGCCTTCCATGGGGGATCTTCAAAGTCTGTCAAATCATTTGGAATAGATCCTCCCCTGTGTGTCTAGGCTGAGAGAGTATCCCTCTATGTGGAATGTATCCCACAGTATTTAGCATATAACCAACAGTTACTAAGAAAAAATATGTACACACATATATAAGTTCACTTTTATTTCTCCATTTCCTCTATTTCAATTTGGATTTCTTTTTTTTCAGTCGGTGTGTGTGTGTGTGTGTGTGTGTGTGTGTGTGTGTGTGTGTAAACATGTATTAATATCTATGCAACTATGTGCATGTGTGGAGACCAGAAAAAGTCACTGGTATCCTGCATCACACCCTGCCTTAATCTCTTCAGACAAGTCAGAGTCTCTCACTGAATCTGGAACTAGGCTGGTAGCCAGCAAGCCCCAGGGATCCTCCTGTCTCTGCCCCCAGTTTTACATGGCCATGCAGCAATGGCCTGCTTTTCTCATGGGTCCTGGGAAGCAAACTGAGGTCCTCCTGCTTGTCCAGCAAGAACTCTTACCCATGCATCTCAATTTTGATTTATAAATGTTTTGGTTTCAGAATGGTACCACATGAAGAATTTTAAAAAACCAAACAACAAAAAACATGTAAAAAACCTCCTCCATAATTGAATTAGAGTCATTTTTCCAAGTAATGTTATTGGAGGGTACAAAATATCAAATAAATAATTTAGTACAGACAAAAAAATAAATTTGAAAGGGAATTTGTTGGAAAAACTGACACACTCCTTCAAAAGCTCACTGGTCTGCCAAAGTTAGAATTCTACACCTAAGCAGTTGGTTTCCTGGACGTAGTTCTAATTACAAACAGAAGATCCTGCAGTACTGTGTAAAATTCTCCAGGAGACATGAACAATGGGATTAAAAGATCCAATAAATTGACAACTGCATGTGTTACCCATTTAAACAAACAGAACAAACCGGAAGGAAAAAAATCCAAACAAAAACGCTGAGGAAACTTCAAAGAAATGATAAAACTTAAAAGAGATTTTTTTCATATCATATTTCAAACATTCTTTCAGTACAAAAAAAAGATGAATGACTTAAAATTGACTTTGTTTTAAATTTCTAAATTCATATGCTTTTTAGCTAGAGAAAAAAATTAGGAAAAAGTAAATTACACTGTCCAAACACAAAATAAGCTACAGAGAAGCATAACTACATCAACACATACATAACCACATAGAAAGGTTTTTCCAAGCAATTTTTCCCTCCCTCCCCCCTCCCCAGACAGGGTTTCTCTGTATTGCTTTGGAGGCTTTCCTGGAACTCATTCTGTAGACCAGGATGGCCTTGAACTCACAGAGATCTGACTGCCTCTGCCTCCTACAGGCCTTTAGTCTCTGCTGGGACTAAAGGTGTGCACCACCAACGCCCATTTTAGCAATTCTTCATCTTAATTATCCACTTTACTGGACAGAGACACAGCACACCTCTCAATGTGTCTCAGGGCTTTCCCAGGGACAACTGGATCTTGAGGGCACTAACCTAATCCATTTATAGATTCAAAACTTTGAACAGAACTATAAAAGGTAAGGTCTCTTGAATGAAAAAGGATGCTGGGGTGTGTCCTGGGGGGGGGGTGTCTTATCTTGGCCCTGGCTCCTTCCTATTGCTCCTCTTGGCATGTTTTCCAGCTGTTATGTTTCTAATCTCCCTTACTGATGAGGCCATAGAGAGGGCAAAGCCAATGCCTTCCTCATCTTCTTAGTCACTTAAGTTCTGACTTCACCTAAGGCTAAAGTTAACCTGCAAGCCCCACTTGCCCAAGGACAGAACACTTCCTGGAATGCTGGGGGCTGTTGTCCTTGTAAGATAACAAGTCACATATTTTCACTTCAATAAACAAGGTTGGTTGCCCCATCTGCACAGGATGTGTTTGATCAGAGAGAGGCTGGAGATTTACCTAGGCAGGAAATAGGACAGGGTGTATGTTTGCCCCCATTGGCCAAAGGTGGAAAGTACAGTGGCCTTGTGGGTTTGGCCTTTATAGGCACCTGACTGACCTGATTTCAGCACCATTTCTCTGGGAATCCTGAATACAGACCTGGCTAGTCTCCACCTTCCTGGTCAGTATTTAATAGAGCTTGCTTCAGTTGGACAATCACAGGTTTGGTCTTCTCAAAATTCTCCAGTTTAATACTAACTTTCCATCAAACAAGCATTAAATATACAAGAACTTTAATATATATGAAATTCAGCTTTCAACAGCCACTACTTAACTTGTACAGTTGCAGACAGAACTGTTTCTTCCTCTAAATGTATTTTAAGCTGAAAAATATGCTTTGTTAACTAAAGAATCAGGAATTCATTCTCTTTCTCTCTCTCTCTCTCTCTCTCTCTCTCTCCCTCCTTCCCTCCCTCCCTCTCTCTAGGGCTAAAAATCAGACTGGGCATACTCCTTTAATCACATCACTGAGTTCTACAAACCAATCAGGGGCACAAGGTAAATAAAAGAATATATTTTCTTGCATTGTAAAAACTGGCAGTATATGCCAATGCTCCCCTAAGCAAGTCTTTTTTAAAAAATGTAATTTATCTCCTAATAGTTCTTTTTCCCTTTTATTTTCTTTGGGGGGGGGGTAAATAAGAATCTAATTAAATAAAAGGGAAAGCTTTTTTATGTGAAAATTTTTTTCATATATTATTTTGGTCATATTCTTTCACCTCCCTGATCCTCCCTACCCCCCTACTCAACAACTATCATATTCTTAAAAAAAAAAAAAAAAAAAAAAGTACATGGACATTTTTCTTAAGAGTGTTCCTTTCACTTCTAAAGCAGTAACACAAAACCTTAATACCTTAATAGGGTTAAACCTGTACTACAATCCCGGCTTCTGAGATTAATTTTATCATGTATAAATCTCAATTTCCAGTTATCAATAAACAGATCTCTGGCAGTCTCACAGTTTCCCTGCTGCTTTTCTGCGGTCACCATGACGATGGACTAAACACCTCATGTAAATATTAGTTAACTACTTTGTTCCAAACTGAGAGTGGAGGAGGGTCGATATGGTGCGTTGTGAAAACTCAAAAAAACTGCAACAAAGATGGAGCGTGACCTTCCCTCCACGAATATTTGCCCTTTACTATCTTAGGGCTTGCTTTATGTATTTATTTACTGATTTATGGAGCGGTGATTTCGGTCAATTGTGGTGTAATTGCTGTTGGGTCACTGGACGCTAACCACGGACCCGATTTTAAGTCACGCTGCTGGGTTAGAAGCCAACTCAAAGGGTCTAGCAGTTCAACGCGGATCGTCGCTTTT